TGATATTTTAGCTTATTTTTTACTGATTGTTTACAGTCCTATCCATACGATAGTATAATAATAATGACTTTGTTACATCATTTGCAGGTCAAAATTGCAGACATGTCAGGTGACCAATGGGTAACCTGTTTCCAGGATTCTGCTGAAGTAATTTTGCAGGCTACTGCTAATGATCTTGGAGCCCTTAAAGAAGCCCAGGTACTTAGTCTCCTTTGGCTTTAAACCTTTCTTCTATATCTACATAGCTATTGCTTAATTTCATCTAACAGTCTTGACATTTTTATGCATTTTATTTTCATTACTATTACATATTTATTTTGCGTATATAGTTATCTACGAAATTCTATTATATTTTGGCTCAAGCGTTATTTGCTAGTCTATTACTCCACAATCTTTATTTACACTGTTTTTATTGAGGTGAGCCTTTTTCTTTCTTGGTTTATATTATGAACGCATTGTATTTTGCTTTCTTTTAATACACGAAACGAAGGATAGGTTTCTTAATCTTAATTGAGGAATCGATTATCACTCATTTTAAAGTGCTCTATCATATATTTCCATAATAAAGTTTGCAAGCTTAGGCGTCATTTTAGATCACATACAGAGCACGTCATTGCCGAACACTTAAATCACCACTCAGTTTTTCGTGGTTTTTTGACAACTCGCACAATGGCTATATAATTGTGCTTTATCAACATTAAATGGGCATTATAACTTCACTTATATATTTAATTGATTGCTGCATTATTCGCGAGTTTTACTTGGTCCTATTTATTCAGCCTTAGGAATTCATATTCCGAGTGTCAGTCGTGATAATTATCGGACGATATATCCTAATTTCACGATATTTAATTGCTCAAATGAGCATATTTAAACTGGAATGGCGGGTAGCTGATCACACGCAGTGTCGATATTAAATTTTTCTTTTTTCCAGAATGATGCAGAGATCGATAGTTTTTTCGCCTCGGCTACGTTTAGCTCATTCCTCTTTCGACTAAGAGCAAAAGTGGATAATTATAAAGTAAGCTTTACTGAAATTCAGCACAATACTTATTTTAAGTTCTAATGTTTTTATTTGCTAATCCTCTTTATGCCTATCTTATATTGATCTAATTTAATTGTTTTTTCATAAGTTGTTATTTTATAATCTTTTGATTTCAGGACGAGCAAAGGCTTCGAGTAGTTGCATCCGAAGTTAAGGTACTTGATACCGAGGACTATTGTAAGAGGCTTATTAAAGCCATAAATGAAATTGCTATCACTTTACCATCCGATCTCCAAGGTCTTTAAACATTTTATCCAAAATTTAATATTAGATGAGTTTACGAATTCAAATTCTATTATGTAAATATCTTATGAATAAAAATTACCATAATAAACTTTTGTTTTTATAGTTAGGTTCCTATTTTTCACACCGTTTATTTTTTTAGGTACAGGTTAGGTTCATCATTCATTAATAGCCACAAATTGTTGTAAATTGCAGATCCTGATTTTATAATTAGTTTCAATCACAATGAAACGACAATAAACAGAGTTGCCACATCTCTATGCAGTACGTTTGGCTGTTTTATAATCCTTGGTTCGATTTGGCCCTATCAGCTATAATTGCCACTCAACAACTCCCATCAGGATAATGTCATTATCCCATTCATTTATTATAAGTTCCTGTTATAAATAGGTGTACTATCTGCGATTGCTATGGATTTTCTCAAAGATTTTTGATGTGCAAGCTTTTAACCCAATAACAGTAACTTAAGTGGCCTTGTAGAATATTTCTATTGGAGAGCCGAGGATCTCGGATAGCCCGTTCTTTTACTTTGGGAAAGCCAGCGGATTCGATTTAGTTGCTAACTAAGGAGCCAGTTTAAATAACGCCTATTTCTTGGCTTTAGTATCTTGTATCCGAATACGAATTCGAATTTAACAGAATGGGATGTATACATTGGCGGAAATCGGCGTGACTATTTTTAACATACTTGGCTTATATCTTAAATAAGAACTATTCGATATGGTCGCGCAAGGTGATCAATTTCTAATAGTTGAGTTTTTCAGCTGATAATAATATGCCTCAAGTTGACAGTTTCATCCTCACAAGAAGTGTTCTCATCCAGAGTGGGCTGCAGACTGGTCTGATTGCAAAAATAGTGGTGGTGTAAATGGGGCGAGTATGTGTTTGCTCGAGCCGCAAGGCGTAATCATCCTGTTATAGAAATGTTCGGCGATCAGCCCATTGCATGCTACCTGGAGTGAATGTAATTGTTGTTCAGGGTATACTGTTAATATCGAGGCCTGATCAGTATGACTATACTATCTGCTCCTCGATTCTGCAATCTAATGAGAAAGTGTCATTCTGATACAGTGAATTAAATTATTTATCACACTTCCATGCAAAAATTAAGGAAAAGATACGAGACCGAGAGGCGTAAGCTATTTAGGTTCATTGATTTAGGATTTAGGTAGTGTTCTCGCTTTGGACGATTTTCAAAATCCACAGCATGACCGACCACAAGTCACACAGGGTCCGGGATCTGATAAATAAGCGACATGACAAGAAAATGCTAAGCTATGGGATAATAAGACAACTAAAGACCAAGCCAACCCGGGTAAATTGTGATTGTTCTCTATTGAAGGCATCAACTGTAACAGTCGACGATAGGACAAATGTTTTAAACCTATCTTCAATCCCTCTTGATTCTGAAAATGGAATATCAAAGTGATAACAAAGGAGAAGAAAACATTTTTTATCGATCTGCCAACACAACACGACAAGACGGATGTTCGGGAGTTTATCGCATCAAATGCGGAAACTGTGAACACAATTATACAGGTGAAACAGGACGAAAAATCGGCCTACGAATCAAGGAACATCAAAGACTCTGCAGGAATATGGATATACAAAGATCAGAAATAGCGGAACACATAGCACGGACGGGTCGTGAAATCGACTAAATCAACTGATAGGTTAGCTGGATATGGTGAAAAACGAAAAACGCAAGATCCGAGAGGCCATTGGCACACTGATTGAGAGGAATCTAATGAACAGGAGACTTGAAGAAGGCAGGATCAGCGAAAACTTTGCATATTGCCTAAATAAACTAGAAGACCAGGCAAAAAGAAGACGACTAGAACAAGGTAATATCCTTACTTTTAAGAAAAGAGATCGCAGGGAATGAGAAAGGAAGAATCAGAAGCAAAGAGGATACGTCTTTAGTGAGCCTAATCAAAACAAGTAGAACCACGACATTTGTGGGTTGGCACACAAGAGACTAGG